GTTACAACACAGTGGAAAAAAGATGTACATTCGTCTAAAATAACGTAAGTTAGGCTTCGAAGAAAATAGAAAAAATGGAATTTATTAAAAAATTTTTCTTCTATCGTTAGGTCGCCTGTTTTAGGTGACTCACCCTGTATAGAAGTGTCTCTGCTGCAATCTCCGCCTGTCCATATTTTCATTATTATCTCGATTCGCAAATTTAGTGGTTTTAGAGGAAGTACGATTTAGGAGATCGGTTAAATCGTGAGAGGGAGAAATTAACGTGATAACGTGGCGTTCTGAAGATAGATACTGTTAATAAGCTTTGGGCGTATTCTATTATTCACCGAGAAACGTTTATGCGGTATTCCTCCGTTAATAGATAAACTTCCATCGATTAATTCATAATTCAGGAACACTGAAATGTCCCTGACTGTAGTACTATTAATAGCAAGTAAAAGACACTTTTATTTAACTTGTTCCTTTCAATCGCTAAACCTTCTATCTACCCATCTAATTCTTCAAAAAATTTCAACAGAACACCATAGAACAAATAAAATACCAATTGGCAAACACAAAAAAAATATTTTCCTTCCAATAGAAATATCGAACATTTCTGTAAATTATACCTCGACGCAAAAATACATTTGTCCAAAATCCACGGAATCAATAAACCATGAAAATCGTCACATAAAGCCGCCTCCACAGCGACCAACAAGATTATCTCGAAGCAAGCTCATAAATACTAATGCAACAGTATCAATAAACCAACGGAACTAAACCGAAATCAGGGAAAAAAGTGAATCGAAAATGGCAGCAAGTATATTTATAACCAAGGAAGTAAGTATATTTTATACAGTCCACCATTCGTTGCTTCTGAACTTTCTTCGCGGTTATGGCGAACTTACGATAGGGAAACACCGTACCCAAAGTTGGCCAAACCCGTTTCTGAAACAGCCTATACCCTCTTCGTCACACGACACACAATTCTCTGTCCGTTTCAGGCGGCCCACGATCAAGAGAATGAGATTATTGCTCGAGTCTTATCACCGAGGCTCGTGTGTTGCAATGTAAGCATTATGTTAATATAATTAAACGGGGAAAAAGGCGTCGATAAAATCTCTCTGCACCTGGGGAGATGCACGGTCCACGAGTTGCAGTGTTAATTCGGGCTCGTTAAATAATTACTGTCGTGTTTACCGAGTAGAATCGTTGAAATTATTTTAAACGTGTTGATTCGTGTTCTTTTTTGTTTTTTTCGTTTACAGCGGTAAAAGTAGTTTGCTAATTTCGATCGTTTTATCGGGGAAATGGATGTTTCGAGACATCGACGATGAGTTGTGTAAAAAAAAAAAAATGGCGGAGAGAATTACTTTTCGACGAGAAAGAGTGATCGATTTATGACATAGTTTAGTATCATAGTCTTTGATAGGTGGATTAAGAGAAAAGAGTTAATAACGCCTGAACAAACTTTTTTTGGTAACTTATTTGGATAAATCAATTTTGAGAAACAAATGTTTTATTAATTTATTAAAATTGGACGAATAGAAAACTTTGCTGATTTTTCGCGAGTAACTGTGCGAAAGCATTTTCCGAAAGTTAAAATTTTCAAAATTTATGCACTTTTTCTCAAAAATGATAAGAAATATTGAAACCAAAGTTTTAAAAAGGTAGGTACTTTTCGAAAAATTGTATTTTTCGTTCCGAGCGATGTTTCAAAATTCTAACCTACAAATGTGCATTAAAAGGGACGAAAGAACACGTGGATGACATTTGCAGCAAATATCTATAACAATTCTCGAGAAGAAAAAGCATAAAGTTAACAAATTTAACATTGCAAAGATAGATCATTTCAACGGCCGTTAAAAATAAAATGTATCTTCTAAAAATAATATCGTTGTAGCATTGAACACGCTGAAATGCAGATCGGAAAATTCTCAGAATCAGCACGACCGCATCTTACAATGGATTAGTAATCAACAGTTGGACTTTGACAAACACACATTTCGCCAAAGCTCGACAACACGCGTGTGAAAAATCAGTCCGGAGCGATTTATGGATCGATAAATTCATGAAAAGTAACGGAGAGCTTCGGTTTCTGCAAATTGAAATTAGCATCGCTCGAGATAATGATCGGTTGTGATTAAACCGCGTGCTGTTAGATACACGTTCATGAACAATTTTCAACGCTTTGTAATCGATAATCAGAGAAATTCTAAACTTTAGACGATTCGATGTTTTTTTTTTTTTTTTTCATGAATTATTCATTAATCGCAGTTAAGAAGTCGCGAGTCGATTGAATAGGATGCATACATCATGCGGTGAATTAATAATACGACATTAACGACACAGTTAGCAATATAATGTTTTGCATGGACGATAAAACGCCATCGGACAGCTAAAAACGGTTCCATGTCAAGCTGAATTTTCACCGCGATAGAGAGAAATCAGCAATGACTGGTCGAACGAACGCGCAGTATTCGTCGAGTATGACTCACGATTTCGAAGCCTTTTTCAATAATAATATCGGCGCTCGACGAAATAAAGCACTTTAATACGACCACGTGCAAACGCGAAACGACGCGACGGCGGTGCGAGAAAGTTGAAAAAGATAGACTACAGCCGATGCACACGCTTTTTCTTGTCCCTTTAAAAAGAAAAAAAAAAATGTAAAAAAAGAAGCAGTGAAAAGCAATTTCTGCATCGCAGATTCGAGAGTCGCTCGCTGAAGAAAAACTGCCTGCTAAAAATAATCAAAAATACAACTGGTATTCTGAAGAGTTGAATCAAAATTGATTGAAACTTTTGTAGATGTTTCAACTGAATTTGATATTTCTTTCACAGACGTTTTCAGAGAAAGTGTTTAATTAGTTCATAAAAGTGTACAAATGTGTAGAAATTCTGTTTGGTATTTGATGATAATGTTTCTAGATGTTTGATACGTGTAAAGTAACAACTGAGTGACACATGACCCCATTATCTATACTGTAATTTGCAAATTTAAGTATGTGAAAGTTAGAGGATTATCATTTTTACCATAATTTTTGAAGACATGTTACTGGCACAAGTAGTTTGATCTTAATCACCTGAGTTGGTGATATAAATACAAGTTTGTTGGAATTTAGAATGAAAATTTCTAAAGTTAAGAAACAACTGTGCGTAGAATTTCCATTAAAGATTTAAGATATTTAAATGCACCATTGCAATATTGCAACATTGCTACACCGTATCTGATTTATCCTACTTTAATAACTTTCTATCGCCCATGGGCACTATGATTAAAATCTTCATGACACCCAAAGTTAGCCAAATAAGGTAGAAACTTGAAAATCCATGATAAAAGGTTACGAAATAAAGAGAAACAATCTTACATAAAATTTAATATCACACTATATCTATTCTGTCCTAAAACTCATAATATACAGAACATTACAACACCGTCATCTGTCTCATCACATCAATAATTCTACACTGCTACAGGTAGCACAAATATAACCTCCTTCACAATAAAGACAGTAGACAAAGACACGACCATAAAAGCCTGTAGAACAAACAAAGTAAAATCCCTACATAAAATATTCAGCTAGAAATTCAACCACAACAATGCACTGCACTCACTGTACTTAAAATCGCGCATAAACACCAGAGCATCATAATAATTGATCCGCTTTTGAGCAGCAATTCTATCACCGGCACAGGCGGCGCCAATGGAATAACCCCACTTCCATAAACAGTTTAATTGTAATCTCGTCGGTGAAGAATACACAGAAGACGGAGGGATGAAAACTCGGCGAAAACAAAGGAGGCGCGATCCCGTGTGAAACGCGGCCAGACTTATCTTACCCGAATAAATAGAATTTTAATAAAACGACACCGTGGATGTGTTGCTTCTTTCGAAATCATAAAACTCCACGGCGACGGCTGTTCTTCGCGGAGGGCGTAAGTCGCAGGATACGAGTCATCGTGGAACTACTTCCGTTTGCAGGACAAAAGCCGCTTTACGAGAAGACTTACGACATGCAGAACACGTAACCGGCAACGAGAAACGACTAAAACCACCCCCGTTCAGAAATCTTAAAAGTTCGTGAAAATTTACTTTTTTTGCCAGTGTTGCGGCTGTGTAATCGTAGTTCCATGTACGGAAATCTGCCTTCCGACCGGAAGCGGCCAGGTTTTACGAGGCAAATCGCTGCCCCGGCAGTTTGAAACGTGTCTGATGACTCGAGGGACGAGTTCACCACCGATGTGCAACGTTGCGTGGAAAGATAGCTTAATGGTCGTCGGTCGAACGAGGTTCAATTCCTCTAACGGTGGAGGGATGTGTACAATGCTTGCGATAAAATTCGTCCGGTAGGGAATATTAGATACGGTTTCTCCTGCACGTGAAGAAAAAAAAACCGTGGTGTAACGGTAGCCAAGTTAAAGCGACGGTCAACGGCAAGTTTCCAACACCGTCCGTCGCTCGCCGTCGGCCAGATATGCGGGTAGCTTTAATTACAGGCTCTAACGTGAAACTCGTCAACGGGACCGTTTCGTGGCCACTACCGTTCTTATCGAACACGTTTTCGCACACGCACCTATACGAAACACACGCGCGCACTCACACGTATATACACTCTCACAGACACAATGCTATATATGCTCACGATAAAACACGATATATGCACACAACAAACAATCGCGGTGGTTGCGAGACGTTGCCTGCAAGCAACGGCAGCGTGACATGCTTGCTAGGGGCTTCCTTCGACCGACGATCGGTCAAAACAAATTTGAGTTCCAACGAAACCCTGATGTACGGTGCGATAGCCTAGCAAAAGGACGATACGAGCGAGGATTCGGTCAAATGAATCGTCGCCACAGGATAAAAGCACAGGAAGAGAGAGAGAGAGAGAGAGAGAGAGAGAGAGAGAGAGAGAGAGAGAGAGAGAGAGACTGAGAAAGAGTGATAAAGAAAGAGACAGAGAAAGGAAGGAAGAAGAGCTGGAGGCATGAAGAGCTCTCGTAGCAGGCTCGCTTACCTCTTGGTGGCGTCGAGCAATGCGCCCTGGAAGCACTTGGCACCGTGAACGAAGGACACGACGACGATGTCCGGTAGCGCGGACTCGACGGTCACGAGGATCTTGTCGCCCCTGGCGAGCGTGAGCGCGGACAGGGCCACCGTGTCCGCCGCCATCTTGGCTCGTTAGAATTATTGCTCCTCGCCGTGTCGAGACCCGTCGTCTCTCTCTCAGCGGATGACGTGAGGAGCGGCTGGGGCTGCCTCACTCTCCTCCGTGTGTACGGAGGCCATGGGCTCTGCGAGGCATGCTAAGGGTGGGGGAGACAGGAGGGCAGCCTCTGCCTGCTTGCTTGCTCGCTTGCTCGCTCGTTCGCTCGCTTGCTTTCCTAGCAGCCACCACCGCCAGCCGCGTCGCATTTCACGTTCGTGCACAGCTGGGCACTTGCGCCTCACTGCGCATGCGCGCAGCTCTACTCCCACTCCGTTTACGCAGTAGCGTACCACGAACTTGAAAGCCCTCGGTTCTATATGAAATTGGCCGTATTATTTCGTTGTTTTTTCTTTTTTTTAAATTAACTATTTTAATGATTGTTTTTAATAAGTAAAATATATATATTACACTACTCTTGGATAAGAATTATTTGACGTAATAGTGCAAATAGTGTATTACTTTGTACATAATGAAATAACGTGTAATATGTTGTTAACAATGTGGGTATTAAAATTGCAATACAATAGAAGCCATATTTTGAGAGTTTAACAGTATTATAAACTCATCAGCGTACTAATTCTATTAAATTAAGAATAAGTTTAGTCGTTAATAAGATTTCACTTTTTTAATACTATGTAGTCTTTTTGATCGAAATAACTTGTCCAAATAAATATTACGAAAACAAGAACTACAAGTAACGTATTCCTCTATTTTTGCAGTGATTGTAATATAATTTTCTAAAATATTAAAAAATGAATTCAGAAAGGAACATTGTCTCTTGTGTAATGTCATACGGCACTGTACTATTTTGCTTCAGGACAGTAGAGATCGTCTACTGTGCCCTTCTCCTACGTCAAACAAACCCCATACAGAGGGTAGCATATGTAGGAGCTAAAATCTTTTTCCCTGACTCAGTGTCTCTTATTTTTTAATCGAACGCTCTTTCGCCCTTGTGATTTATCTTGTGCAGCCAGAAAGAGCTTAGCCAGCTGGTTTTCAGTAGAATTTTCTTTCAGACAACGCATACCCGGTCTAGATACACCACTATTGCATACATACTTTTCGGAAGCATTCTTTCTCCATATCACGGTGGGGACAGCCTGGAAGAATGAGCCACTACTCCCTATAAAAGCATATTCCATGTTTGAGGGCCAGTTATGCATACTGATTGGAATAAATTTGCTAAATGCGATTATCTTGGTGGAAAAATGTATAATGCTAATGTTGATTGGAATATTCGTAATAGGCAGAAAATACATCTTAGGTATTTTAATATAGGGTTATGATTGCGTTTAACTCTAGTCACTGCTTAAAAAGTTCAACTTTTGTGCACCATATGTGAATCATAATTTATACCATTTAATGTTATAACGTAAAGAATTCATTGAGATGTTAATTCCATGTGCACATATTTATCTGTTTATAGACATTTTCGTAATAATTTCATTGGTGAGAATGGAACATCGAATAGGCGTTGAATCGGCGAAGAAAGTAATTTTGCTTCATTTCTCAATTTACTTCTGCTAAATCCGTTTATTAATTCCATTAATCGCAAGATGTACCGGAAGTGTGGAGCAGGGAGAGGCAAGCGACAGGCTAAGCGGGAGAATAATGAGATACGAAATTATATCACGAACATTACGAAATAATAATTCGTGACAGTTTTAGCTACAATATGGTGACATATAACAAACGAGGTCGAGTTCTACTTTTCGCGAGCACGGAAGTGTACAGCTTAGTTGGCCTCGTGCACTAACTTTTCGTGCACTGGCCGCTTTGCAGTGGCCACGAAAACGAGAAAAACAGACCACTATGCACGAGAAAGGGAGAAGGGAACGAGAGTAAGAAAGAGCGAGAAAGGGAACGATAGAAAAAGAGGGACTAGCGGGGACGAGCAGTTCGTCGGTAAAGAAAATCACGCCACGAACATTTCAGGAATTCGACAGGAGCGCCCGTGAACTTGATTTTGCTCGCTGACCTCCGCGCAAAGCGTTGTTTAAACTTTCTCTGGCCAGTCTGTCTCGTAACTTTAACAAAGGGTTCTGCAGTTCGACACACAGGACCATAACGGCAAAGCTCATAGTAGAAAACGATGAACGTCACGGGCAACGAGTTTCAATTGTCGGAGACGGGGTCGAAAGCTCAACGATGTAGCTTAATTAGTTTTTATGTGCATCGGCCAATATTTTATCGATGCTGTTTGGTAAACAGTTCAGGGGGGCTACGTATGTATACGTCTTCGATATTAACTCTACTACTGTCAATATTATTGCGCAACTCAGAATATTGCACGTTCCATATCGAACGTTTACGGCGTTCTTCAAACTGACACGAAATTGAGAAACGTTACACCCCGATCGTTCTTTGCGAGAACAACGATCGTTGTTACGGTCTACAGTAGGTAAAGGAAAGATGATAGAACCGAGACAGGACGTTGTAGCTTCGTACAGCGTCTCCCAGAAGTCTTTGATGTTTCGGATGGACTTTTAAACGTCATTGTAGTTGTGTGTTTGTGTTAATTGAATATTCGTAAGCCGCGTCACGCAGATGACACTATTTCGGGAAATGTGTTCTAGAAACCTCTTTCGCATCTGGTAGATATGAAAATTTAATTACATATACGAGAAATACATTCGAATGGTACAAAATTGTTTTTCAAGCGTTTTTTAAAAGTAGTTAAGCAACCTGCAGTGAATTTATATTAACAGAAATATTCATAAATCTGCTGTTCTATACAGGAAATGAGAAAACAGGAATAAGGTAAAAAAGTTGTAATTTTAAAAACGTGTTTAAAAATTCCTTTTGTATTCATAATACATAAATTCAAGGCGCGAGTGAATGCATGAATTCATGTGCAAATTTACGAAATTTATTTAAATGTAAATTAACATTTCGGAAGCATGTCCTTTTCGCATTAGTGACACGGCATACGGAATAACGTTTGAATTATACATATAAAATGATGATATATGTAGGTGTATATTATAATGCATATATATGAAGCGTTTCTCTTCTTTTGTATCTATGTCAACGGAAATTAAATTGTGCCAAAGCAGGTTATTGTATTCAGAACAATTTGAAAAAGCAAGCTGCCACTTTGTTATTACTCCGTATCGAGAAAACCAACCTTGGAGAAATTGACGATTATTTCATTTTTGCATATTCATTTATTGTGCCGTATCTTTTGTTGTTGCTTTAGAATTATTCATTTTTCATATTGTCGTTAAATAATTTTAAAAAAGTAGTTTGAAAATCTTTATCATTTTACTTCACAAATTTTAGACGTTCTTGTTTTAAAAAAATATTAGTCTAAATTTATTTATACACTGTTGTAAAAATAATCGATACAACTCGAGCATTAGTAATTTAAATGGAAAGTCAGTTTTATGGGGTAGTATAAATTATTGTTTGTACGTAACAATTGAACTTAATGCCCTAGCTAATAAAAGAAGTTCGAAGAAAGTTAATCAAAATTATCGATCTTTTCAATCCACGACAAAGATAGATGCACAATGATCCCGTGAGAAAGAAAAAGATCGTTTTAACAAGACGCATGGAATGATGATAATAACAAGAAAAAAATCAGTGCTAGGGAGGGGAGACAGCGCAGGGGCGTATAGAACGGAGCAGGCTCTCCAGAAGTGATACACGGTTTTCACGGGTAAGCGGACAAAAAATCATGCCTGACGCGTATAATGCGTTACATAATATGCGGTCGTGCACGTGCAGTTTGACATAGTGCGGCCGGAGGTGGAAATACGAGCGAAACGTTTGGCTCTTTGCTTCGTGGAATCGTTTTTGAATGAAAATGTGCCGGTACTCGGACAGAAAGTGGGTCGTTCATCGACTACAACCTCTTCTGTCGAGCGTGGTCGATAATCGCCTGGAACTGAGAAACTCTGAACGAAATTGTTCGGAAACGGGATCACGCAAGTGTCTCGTCGTGACGTCACATGAGAAATGGGAGAGAACGGTGCAAAATGGTCAGGGTGGGCTATACGAAACGAGTATAGACGCACACGCGAAACTATAATCGATGTGCGTTGCGCGTTGGCCACTTTAGGTTATGCCGCATTTTACGCCGACAGCCGAAAATTTGCAGACGCGGGGCCCGCGAATTTCGCAGTACGTGTTTGCAGGATCAACTATCGGATTTTGCCGACCGAAACCGAACGGCTCACATGTGTCACGATAATATCGATCGATGGATCCAATTCGGTATTGTCTGTTAATTTTAAATTATAATTCATGGAGTCCGCGTATTGCCTCGTGCATTGAACGTATCGTTCGATGGAAACACTGTCAAATAATCGATACGTCAGTCGTGGTTACTGGGTACGATCGTTTGTATGTTCGATACGATATACCGTTAACGACAATTCGAGCACGTTCGAACTTTAATTTGACAGCCTTGATACGGTATTAATTCTCAGTGCCTTGTTTGAATTTTTCTTTTGCCTGCTCTCGCAGAGATACAACTTCGTAGATAAGAGTCGTATAAAGAGATGATAAAGTGATTTTAGTGCAACGGCTGCACGGTGCAAAGTACGGTATTCTTAATTTTGATTGAAATTAAACACATATAAAATATGAAATTAAACACGTACAATTTTCAATTATCATAATTTCCTCGATACTTTGTCCACCATAAAGGGCTGTTAAAAATATGTTTACACACAAGTCCATGTTATAAGATTACCGGTAATATGTGTTGCAAATAAAGTATTTCTGAAATTTGAAGTAAATACGTGGTTTAAAGTACGACTTATCGAAGAAATTAAAAACGATGGAAAAACCGCTTAAGCTTTGTAATCAGGAAACTGACGTTACCGGTGTTGTAAAATATACGGTAATCGGTCCAAATTATAATTTCAATTATTAAAAAGAATTTGATGAAACACGTGACTTATCGTACTGTTACATGATGTTACAGTTATTTCTGTGTATCTCGTCAGTTAACACCTGTGTCTATAAATATGACGTGAATCAACATCGTCAACTTTTTCGTCCCCTACATTTTTTCGTTAACGAAAAGTCACTTTAATTGTCGATCTAATCGATGACGTTTCATGTTCGTTGTCAAGGATCGAGGCGATAGTAACCCTCGAAGATGGGGGAGGAGAGATTGGACATCGAAAAGCCAACTTACGATCTCAGTACCT